ATATCTCATATCTTAAAAATTAATTATGTAATAGTAACAAATTACGATATTAATAAAGATCATGAGACACGTCTCACCTTAACATTAAAAAAATAAATAAATTTCACTATTATATTAAAAAAATTTTTTTTTTAATTTAAATAAATTATCTTAGTTTTCACTTTTTAAAATTACTTAATTTTTTCTAACTTTGAATATAAACTCAATAACTAAAAAAATATTTGATAGCAATAATTTTTTCATTATAGGTAAACAACTTTTTCTTGAAAAATAAAATATTATAATAGATAAACATTAAGCTGAAAATTCAATAAGAAAGATTTCTACAGATATAGGCTATTCCAAAAGTTGCATTCATGGAGTTATAACACAATAGAAAAAAAATGGTTCTGTTTTACTAAGCAAATATCCAGGAAAACCAAGAATTCTTGATACAACTATATACAAAAAGTTAAAAATTTTTGTTATTGATAGTCAAAATTACAGTCTTTGTGTCAAACAATTGCAAATAATTTGGAATACAAAAACTGGAAAAAATATTTCAACCAGAACCATACGACATAGTTTGAAGATTATTGGTCTCTGTTCTTATATTGCATGCAAAAAGCCATTAATTTCAAATATTAATCAAGAAAAACATTATAAATGGGCACTTGCACATCAACATTTGTTATTGAATATTAGAAAAAAGTTTTGTTTTCGGATGAATCTACATTTACTCAATTTCAACAATATCATATTAGTCGAATTTGGCACAAAACACATGAAAAATTTGAACTTACCTGTTTATCAGCTACTATTAAACATAGCTCTAGTTATATATTTTGAGATGTTTTTCATAGAATGGTTTAGGTCCAATAATTTCCCTTAAAGATCACGTAATTGGTATTTCACATGCCAATATACTTTAAAAATTTGCATTTTCTACTCTTAATAAATTTTTTCCATATAGTAATAAAATTTTTCAAAAAGATAATACTAGTCCTCATCATTCTAAAGTTGCACAAAAAATTTATAAAAATAATAATATTCAAATACTTTCTTGGCCAACACAAAGTCTGGATTTAAATCTTATAGAAAATTTTTAATATAAACTTAAAACATTAATTTGTAAAAACAAAAATTCACTCAAAAATCTTGAAGAATTAGAAAATTATATTAAAAATACTTGGAAAAAAATACTTTCTAAATATATCAAAAATAAGTTAAAAGTATGCCTTCATGAATTAATACTTGTTTTATTGCTAATGGAGGACCAATGAAATATTAATAAATAAATAAATATTTTTTTTAATAATCGGTTATTAAAATTTTAAATTCAATTATATATTTAATAATAATTTAAAATTGAAATTGACCTGATGTGTAATATAATTATACAAGAATTATTATCATGAAGATCACTGATCGTGTAACAATAAATTGATTATTAGGTTAAGTGAAAGAAAAAAGAGATTTTTAGTGCTTAATTTCTTTGTTGCCTGATTTCTATCTGGCTTTTTCATATGAAAGTCATATCCTTCATTTAAATCCAATTATGACAGATGCTAATATTTTGAAAAATGATTTGGAAAACATGTGTCAAGCCCTGGAAATTTCTACCAAATGAATAAAATCTGACTTTGTGCAAAGATTACGTAAACATTTAAAAGAAAAAAATTGTGCATTTAGCTATAAGTCAGAGGGATCTTATAAAAGTAATGAAAATGATTCTAACACTTAACTACTTGATGATGATTTGGAAATGACTGAAATACAGAACTTGAGTTCACAGGCAAAAACACTAAAGAAACTAGCTTATCAATCTAGAAAAGGAATTTCAGCAGTAATCCTACCTACCAGAGAACAACTATCTACTCCTAGTATTTGTAGATCTGAGCCAACTCATATACAGATGAAAAACAAAAAGAAACAATCATTGCTAAATGAAGAGAATGGAAATCAGAATTTGATCAGTAATCAAATGTTGATAGAGTTTAAGAGGCTCTAAAATGCTATGTTAAATATAAACGAAAAGTTAAACACTATTACAGCACAAGTACAAGATATCAGATACAAAGTTGAAGTTAATGAGGTATGACAAAAACATAAATTTGAGAAAGCTCATGATCAATATGAATATGATGTCTTATACAGAATTGGAAAAGAATTGAATCTTGTAATGGAATCAAAAAGTACTGTAGAAGTTGTAAATCATATTGATATTGCATAAAAAGTAGCAGCAAATCGCATATTTATCTTAAGAGTAGCAAAAGAATATGGTTAGAATATAGCATCAGCTCTCCCTGATATGCAAGATAACTGGTTAAAAAAAAAGATTCCTTAATAGAAAAGACAAAAACTCTAGTGGAAATAAAGAAAACAAAATGTCACAGGATATATATGTCATCTAAATCAAGTAACTATGGCTATTGGAATGAAAGTTATCATGATGCTGGAAAATTTTTTCATATCAACTATTGATAGAAGACAAATTCATTCAACAATTGTTATATTTGTAATGGACTTGGCCACTATGCAAATGAGTGTCCATCTGACTCAAACAAAGAAGTTAGAAAATATTATCCCAACTATCAATCAAAAGGATATACAACCTATTACAATAAATACAACAGAAATTATGAAGACAGGAACCATGATGAGAGAAAGCTTGATTGACTATGCTTGAAGAGAACAACAAACTTCAATAACAGAACATATTCATATGAAAAATCATGTAGAATACTGGAAAACAAAGATAAGAGCATCAAAAAAAAAAAACTCTTTCCGCAAACCACAAAAAATTTTAAAAATTTCTTTTTTTGGCAACTCAAGAAAAACCAAAGGAAATATCCAAAGGAAATACCAGAAAAAACTATTCTTTGGAAAGAAACATTTTGCAACCACCTCCCAAGCAGAAAGAAGACACCAGAACAGGTATACACCAAAACTTTACAAACTAACTTCTTTTCTTTTCTTTTTTTTAGCACATAAACAGAAACACACTTGAAACTTCTCACCAGGAAAAAGGAAAAGACAAACAATACAGTTAAATCAAGAAAGAAAGTCAGCATCGCACTTCACAAGCTACTGGCTAGTCATGCACCAGGTTAGATACCTCCCTAGACACCAGAAGGATCCTGCTTAGCCAGATTACACCTGGTAAACCAGGCAACCTTATCACTAAAGCAAGGATCAAAAGGATACCAAAACTTTCTCTTACTGTGACTAAGGAAAGAAAACACTATTCAACCCAAAACAACAATATAAATAACAACTGTTACACAACTCAAACACTTAGGAGTAGGAAAAACCAGAAACAGTTTAACCCTCCAAAAGATCAACAGCTACACAAACGTGTAGTAGTAGTATATCAATACCAACCAGACACATCCAAACGTGTTCACACATGCTCCAAAGATGTGATAACAAAACAACAGCAAGAAACAAATGCATGTTAACACGTCAATACAATACCACCACAATACTACAAACACACAGATACATGTCAAACAGTAAACAACAAAGCGTGTAGCAAACTTGCCAATACAACAAGCACTTACATAGCAGCACGTCAAAATAATCAACAAACACGTATCAATTATCAACACCACAGCATATAGCAGCACAATATATCCATACGCTGACATGACATTTGCAAACTACACGACAAACACATAACAGAAACACATATAAATATCTGACAATAGGACAATCTTTATAAATAGACATACAGTTTGTAAACAAATACACAAACACTCTATGCATCAAACACTCTGAAACAAGATGTCTTACAGTACAAATACATATGAAGACTCTATCCAACTAGATGCAGAAACAATACAGAAACAAGACAAGATCATAGATCACCTACTTACACTTAAGAATAATCATCACGCTAACGATAAGTTATGGTTCTACAAGATGATCCACAACTATCTTCACAAAATCGAGACTGAAGAAATTGACCTGGGGATTTCATTCAACACTACCCTATTGGATACTATCACAGCAAAAATAATGAACATCAATCCCAGACAAATTGTCAAAGCAGATATCATTCGCAGATATGCAAAAGATCTCTGGAGAGAAAATGAAATGTGCATATCTATACTTGACAAACACATCATCAAAGACCCATTGGACAGACTTACTATCTCCACAATCCTTAGGCCAAGTGAACACAACCCTCAAAATAACCACCCAGAATCCATAACATTCATAGACAATATTCATCCTACACATCAAAAACAACCCTCAAACCAACAAGACCATCAGGCCTCAGCAAACCAGGACACAGGTCACGTGGTACAAACACTCTCTCATCCAATTGAGATGGAAATCTTAAACTCTGAACAGGAAGAGCCAGCTACATTAGAAATAATTATGTCAAATACAGAAGAAATGCAAGAAGCAATCACTTCAAATATTACAAGCTTGCAAGACCAGGAGATGCTTCTAAACATACCACTTGATATTTGGAAAAGCATGAACTACCAAACAAGAAACAGAACTACACAACCAATTAATCCATATTTCATTGCAAAAAAATGAGCATATACAGCAGGCATTTTGATAGCAAACACACCAGGAGAAAACAAAGACGAACAAGTCAAGTACCTAATGAATATCTTCAAGCTATCTAAGACTGAG